TGTTGAGTTGCACGCAAAACTGATCCACTAGCCTCATCGATTTGCATCGAATTTTGACCCACGGTTAGACACTGACCTGCTCGGGAACGAGCGGGGGAAACAGGAGTGATCGACGTGGCGTTATTAAGCGTAATCAGGCGCTGGCACCTGCGGGATGGCATGGCCATCCGGGAAATCGCCAGGCGAACGGGCTTGTCCCGCAACACGATTCGGAAATATCTGAGCACCGGGGTTGTTGAACCGAAATACCCCGAGCGGCACAGCCCGAGCAAACTCGACCAGTTTGCCCCGAAGCTGACGACGTGGCTCAAGACTGAAGCCAAGAAGAGCCGTAAGCAACGCAGGACACTTCGGCAACTCTATGCCGATCTCACTGCGCTGGGCTATGAAGGCTCCTATGACCGGGTCGCTGCCTTCGCACGAAATTGGCGACAAGCGCAGCAGGTAGCGGCGGGCACAACGGGGCGCGGCACCTTCATCCCCCTGACCTTTGCACCGGGCGAAGCCTTCCAGTTTGACTGGAGTGAAGATTGGGTGGTTATAGCCGGCGTGAAGACCAAACTTCAGATCGCCCAGTTCAAACTCTCCTATAGCCGAGCCTTCTTCCTGCGCGCCTATCCGTTGCAGACCCACGAAATGCTGTTCGATGCCCATAATCATGCCTTTCGCGTGCTGGGCGGGGTTCCCCAGCGCGGCATCTACGACAATATGAAGACGGCCGTAGACCGCATCGGGAAAGGCAAAGCGCGGGACATCAATGCCCGTTTCCAGGCCATGGTCAGCCACTTTCTGTTTGATGCCGAGTTCTGCAATCCGGCCTCAGGCTGGGAGAAGGGGCAAATCGAGAAGAATGTTCAGGACTCCCGGCATCGGATCTGGCAAGGTGCGCCGGCCTTCGAGGATCTGGATGCGCTTAATGCTTGGCTCGAACAACGTTGCCTGAGGCTCTGGCAAGAGCTGCGTCACCCCGAGTTGCCAGGCACCGTTGCTGACACCTGGTTTGAAGAGCAGGCGCAACTGATGGCCAGGCCAGCGCCCTTCGATGGCTTCGTCGAACACACCAAGCGCGTTTCACCAACCTGTCTAATCAACTTCGAGCGCAACCGCTATAGCGTTCCGGCTGCCTTCGCCAATCGGCCGGTCAGTTTGCGGGTTTACGCCGACCATTTGATGGTCGCCGCCGAAGGCCATGTGATTGCCGAGCATGTTCGGGTCATCGACCGTCGGCACGACGGCGGTCGAACGATTTACGACTGGCGACACTACCTCGCGGTGTTGCAACGCAAACCCGGGGCCTTGAGGAATGGGGCACCGTTTGCCGAATTCCCCGACGGCTTCAAGCGCCTTCAATCCGCCCTCCTGAAACGGCCGGGCGGAGACCGGGAAATGGTAGAGATTCTGGCTTTGGTGCTGCATCACGATGAGCAGGCGGTACTGACAGCGGTCGAAATGGCCCTCGATGCTGGAGTCCCCTCGAAACAGCATGTGCTCAATCTGCTGGGCCGATTGGTGGAGTTGCCCCCGCCGGGCCCCATCGATGCCCCTCAGGCGCTGGTGCTGAAGATCGAACCGCTCGCCAACGTTACTCGCTACGACAGCCTGCGGGAGGTACGCGATGCTGCCTGAGGCCATGATCACAACCCTGAAGTCCCTCAAGTTCTTCGGGATGGCACAAGCCATTGAGGAACTGGCGTCCCAGAATTCGCCCGCCTATCTGAATGCCCAATCGATCCTGGATAGCCTGCTCAAGGCTGAATTGGCAGAGCGCGAGGTCCGCTCCGTGAATTACCAGATGAAGATTGCACGTTTCCCGGCTTACCGCGATCTATCGGGTTTCGACTTCACGCAGAGCGTCGTCAATGAAGCTCTGGTGCGACATCTGCATCGCGGAGAATTTATCGATGCGGCGCATAACGTGGTGCTGATCGGCGGCCCTGGAACCGGCAAGACGCATCTGGCGACTGCGATCAGTGTGCAGGCCATTATGCATGCCCATCAGCGTGTTCGCTTCTTCTCGACGGTCGATCTCGTCAATGCACTGGAGCAGGAGAAACAAGCTGGTAAGCAGGGGCAGATTGCCAATCGTCTGGTCCATGCTGATCTCGTCATTCTCGATGAGCTGGGCTATCTGCCCTTCAGTCAGCACGGTGGGGCGTTGCTGTTCCATCTGATGAGCAAGCTCTACGAGAAGACCAGCTTGATCATCACCACCAATCTAAGTTTCTCGGAGTGGGCCAGCATCTTTGGCGACCCGAAGATGACCACGGCCTTGCTCGACCGCCTGACCCATCACTGCCATATCGTCGAAACCGGTAACGAGAGTTACCGCTTCCGGAACAGTTCAACCAAGCCCAGCAAGGAGGGAAAGACTAGAAATACATCAGCGAACTGAGCCATACTGCGGCTCTTCGGGTGGGTCAAAGTTCAGTGCAAATCCCGGGTCAGAATTCGCTGCAAATTAACA